AATGTTGCTGCTATGACTCCAGAACATTAGTCCTCCCTCATTTATTCCATGCACGTACGGAATAAATCTGAGGGCAACATATTCCAGGCAGGAATAAAGAGCTTTGATTCTCTGGAGTCTAAATATCCAATATAGATCAATGTTGCTAGAGGGAAAAGAGAGGGACATTTAATTACCTTAAACCGAATGCAGAAGACAGTGGGGGAGGAAGTCTTTGAGTGAGGGCAGAGGTCACCTAAGTGCTAAAGTGTTTGCTGCAACCACCTGATAATGGGGTAAACAGGCTACAACATGAGTAGGAAAGAATGATTTGGAAAAACGTATCAGAGAAGGATCATTGTGGCAAGCAGTGACAAATGGAGTCTTACAGAGATGTCCTGCAAATAAGTCAAGACCACAGAAACATCCATTGAAACCAACTTTTATCTGATATTTGGGATAGAAAGCATCACTTTTTATGATCCTCTGAAACTGCTCCTTGCCATTTTTAAAACACAAGCCATTTTTAAAACAGGCAAAAAGTTTCCCCTGAAATGGATTTAAGAGTTTTGGAGCCTGTTGGATGTTTTCCAGTCTTGTGAGGCAGCTGGCACATTTAGCAGCTGTCAATTGCTCTTCCCGCCACCATATGGTACTTGCAGCCTCCCTTCTCTTTAACACTGATTCATCTGTCTTCATATTATAGGAAACTGGTGTACCTCATGGGTGTGCAGGGGGAAGTGGGTATCCATGCATGTGTTGCGAAGCAAAGCAAGGGCAAAACCCACGCTCTGCTCTGGAGGTCCCAGCCACTCCTCATCTCACCTGCCCATCTGGGTTTTTGTTCTCTGAGCATCTCCTCTACAACTAGCATGGCCAATTGATTTTACAAAGTCAGAGTAAACAAAGACCCTGCACATTTTATGTTCTAGATGCTTGTAAATGCTCATACACAGATTTTGATCATTTCTTTATTGCGGATCATTCACTTAGAAAATGGGACTAGCACTGCTTTATTTGCAAGGCACTTTTGTGCTGTTAGACCTCACATGGAATTTACTTCATTTAATGATAATGGATGAATCAGTGTGTGTGTGTGTGTAGAGAGAGAGAGAGAGAGAGAGAGAGAGAGAGAGAGAGAGAGAGAGAGAATGCATGCATAGAGAGCATATATAGACACAGGGGCAGGTAAACTTAACCCCTCTGGGGAATTAGCTCTTAGACTCCTATACAAAAATAAAGCAAATTTCTAAATCCCCGCACAATGATGTCAGCAAAGAAAAAAGGATCCTGCAGAAATGAACTCCCCCAACCACTGCAACTAAGGAAACCACTAAATAGGAGCCATTCAGAGTGAAGTGCTCTGTGATGCTGAGCAGAAAATGACCAGAACGCAAGAGGCATCGAAAGTGTTTCACTGCAGTCAGACTCAGTTGTTATTTTACAAAGGATTCTATCATTCAACAACAGCTTATTTTTTGATTCACAGAACATGTTTTTCCCTTTACGACCACAAATGAGTACAAAGGTCATGTATAAAGCATTCAATCTCATACAGAAGGTTTTAGTCAGGGCTGGTGACCTTGTTTTGCATGGAAATCAAGAAATGTAATGACTATTTTAAACTTTTTGTATACGTTTAAGCAGCCATTGGAGTCTGTCTGAGATTTAAAACATGCAATATATAAATGCATACATACAGATTAAAGTATTTTATGGATTTTTAGCAATGTAAATATTTCTCATGTAGATTGAAAGTATTCCAGCTTTTTTAACACTTGTTTGCTTGTACTATAACATTTGCTTCTTGCTAAGATATTTGTTTTTACGCTGTAAGCTATATATAATCTGTGGTGACCTGGGGGGACAGTGGGGAGTCTATCATAGCATGCTGTTCTGTTTAACTTACATATGACAGAATAGGTGAGCACATTTCTGAGCTTTTCTGTTTAAAAAAAAATCAATAAAACACCTCCTGTCAGTACAAATAAAAATTATGAAGTGACAGGAAATGGTCAAGGTGAGTCTTTCACCTGTTGCCAATAGTGTCTTGCATAATGATCTATGGGAACAATATGCACTAAATCAAGACACACAGAATCAGGTCTGGCAAGCGGAAGCGGAGCCAACCTTGAAAATTCTTCCTCCAAATAAAGATAAATAATCTAGATAGGTGTTAGTATTCTCCAGGAAGTTCAAATTCTTTGGTTAAAGTCAGCAAACAAACTACAACTTACAAGCTTGTTATCTGACTCTCTCTGCAGTCAACACTGAATGCTTTCTTTTAGCAAAATCAAAACACAAGACGCAATTGGAAAAAAAAAACCCACCATGCTGTCTCACAAACAAGGCAGTTCTGCCTTTAACAAGAGGTCTGCTTTAAATTCCAGCTGTTTTATGTTCCATAAAATGCTGCAATATTTTTCAGTACTGCCTGCATTTTCACATCACCTTATCCAGGAACTCTGGCTTACAAAACCACTATGTGGTCCATGCACCTTGTACAGCCATCTGTTTCTCCCATTAGCACAAGAGGGTTGTCTGTTACACTAAACAAGCTCAGGATTTGTAAACCAGCAACAAACCTTGGTCTAAAGCTGTTCATATGCAATAAGCCACAATTTTACATTCGGATGTAATACTAATTATGAGTGGAATGAAAAGTGGGAATGAAAAGATTGCAGGCACCAGAACACATCTTGTGCATATTATGGTTTATTAGGCAGAGATTCCAATCTTAAGGAGACATGCAAAGGCAGACACAGTGCATGGAGGTACCATCTATTTTTTTTAAAAAACATTCAAATATATTTCTCTGAATAGTTTGTGAAAGTGCCATAAATTGCTGATCATGAATTTCACTTTGACCTTTGTAGACTGTGGAAACTGGAAGGTTTGCATGAATTATAAAAAGCTTCCCAGGTCTTTTGTTGTTTTTTTTCCTTGGTTTTATGTATTTTTAAACATGCAGTCATGAATGTTCCTTGATGGAGAAATTCAAGACAACCAAGAAGAAAAAACAGTTGAAAAAGAAACTGAAGATACACTGTGTTCTGCAACATTTAAAAATACATCAAGTTCAAAAGTGTTGATTGTTTAGCAATCCAGACAAATGAAGGAAAGGTGCTATATCACTGAATCTAGAAATATTGCAGCAGTGCAATCGGTTATTATTTTATAACAATATTTGTTGTAAAACATTAAACAGTATTTTATACAGCTTACTGAAACAAAAACATATTGCATTTGTACAAATATAACAAATGAAATGGGTTTTAAGCTGTGGGTTTTTTGCTGTATTGCAAATACACATGTTTGTATATATATGGCTTTTTAAAGGTTTTAATCTCTGAAAATCTTGCAGAGAATTTGGCCATTGGGCAGAAGAGAAATGTAATAATAAATGAAATGATTTTAAGAAATTTGTCTTGTTTTAAATGTTTTTCTACTGGAAACATTCCTCAGGAAAAAAATGAAAGAAAACTTCCCCCACTTCCTTTCAGAATTTTCCCTTAATACATTTAATATGGATGCATAAACATTCATCAATCATATAGTTGACAATGGCAGAAACACTGGGACTTTTTTTTTGCTTTTTTGGCACTACAGTGTGAAGTAGTCTTTAGTGCCATATCTGTTCTACAGTACAACATACAGCTAGGTATTTCTGTTTTATGCAGTAAGCAAACATTTGAAATAAAGAATGTGCTCCAACAGCCATGGACTTCTAAAGAGGATAGAATACCAAGAACTTTCTCAGTGAAGGCTAGTAGAACAACATCCTCTGGCAACCACAACTGAGAAATGACCGCGAGCATGTTCAGAAGAATAGAGAGGACTTTAAGGACAACAGCAGGGCACAACACAATAGTTCAAAGATTACGTTCCAGACAGGAATTTCAAAGAAACTATATTTCAAAGCACTTATTCTGGAGCACTGTCACTTAAACAAAATGGTGCAAGAATCACCCCCATGTCTAACTAATTGTAGATGTCTGGCAGCCACTTCATAACATGCTCCTTAACTCCAGCAAGCTTTCTCGAATGCCTGCCACTGGCCACTCAAAGCACTGCTTGTCCAGAAGAGGTAGTATGGCAAATAGTTCGATTTTTCAAGAGACATATTCTTCACTTAAGATGTTGAAAAATAATTTAATACACTCCATGTCACATGTCAAATTTTAAAGGGAAATTTTCACCTTGTGCTACACAAACATTTTTTACATTGTAAGGTTAACTACATGGTCCTTAGGGATTGCGTTAAAGTGAAGTGCCAGTTCAATCTGTCTTTTTAAAGTACAAAAGAAGAAAACCTCGGCAGCAAGTCAACCAATTAGGTCTCTTTCTGACCAACCCATTGGTCAGCAGATTGCTTCTTGTAACAAGCAGTAAATTCTTGTCATTATTTTTCAGAGAAAGTTGGATACAGCTAACTAAACCTACTGCAAACACAGATGCATAATGTAAATAAGAAAGATGATTTCATTTTTTGAAACAAAGGGAACCATCTGTATGTAGCATGAGACAACGTATATAACTTAAAACCACAGTGCAAGAACAGGCCATGCATATGTGTTTATATAAAAGCAACATTTTGAAAATCCATCCCAATACTTAACTGAAAACACTTCTGAGGAGTCCATTTGGGAACAAAAACTGGACATTATAAAATGATCTGGAAATGCCTAGTTTTATGTTGGATCAATTCTGGCAGCACAAATCATTTTTTGTGACTAGCAGCCTCTCATGCCCTAATACCCAACAGCCCTAATGAACAAGGGTTGTCTTTGCTCTTCTATGAAGACAGCTGCTCCCAGCATGCAGATTAGTCCTCCACTGAAGCATCCTTCTGCATGTCCATGAAAGAGCTGAGTTTCCAACTATACATCACAGTCACAAGTTTTTGTTCATGATCCATAGCTGTTTGTTTATTTTGTCTTTTCAACCATTTTTCAAAGCAGAGAAAACATTGTTGTGCAATGAACATTTGGAAAGAGTTAGTGCAAAGTATTTCTACTTACATCTTGAGAGTTCTTAACCAGCTAGAATGTCTACAGCTGTCACCTCCTTTTTACTAAGAAGCTTTTGTTTTATCAAGACCATGGTGAGTGATATTTGGAGCTTCCTTATCTCTGGATGCTTGTAGGAACTGCTGCTTGCTCAATCTGAAAATAAGACGTGGATCTTGACTAGGCAAACTAGGGCAATTGCATTGGTCTCTTATTTGAAGTGCCTGGAGGAGAAAAAAAAAAAAAGAGAGAGGAATTATATTGCCAAAGAGACTCATTACCAATGTCTAAACTGAAAATTGTCAGCTTTTTCACAGGGCTCTTGCAAGGAAAATAGATAGGTGCAAAGTGCTATTAAAAATGAATGAATGAATGAATGAATGAATGAATGACTAAATAAATAAATAAATAAATAAGAGCATTTCATTGAATGGATAGGTTTTAGACATTTGGCACTTACCAGGCGATTTTAGTTACATATAATACAGTGACCATTTTGCTATTGAAAAAGAGTCATCAGTATATTAAACATCAATGATTGAAGATACCTCTCAGAGTCAGAACAATAATCTCATTTAGAAAAGGTTCAACTGCTAGTGATAAAGTCACCACAGAATTTAAATAACAATTAACCAATCATAATGAAAATAAATTTACTAATTCCAAAAAAATGAACACACACATACAGGAATCTGCAAATATTATAGAGCAGGAGTGGCTATCTGCAGCCATTCAACTCCAGCCGAGATGGCTAATTATCAGGGATGATGGGAACCAACAGTTGCCAGTCTCTTCCCTGCCCTCACCACTCGACAAGAATAAGCTCAACCCTGCTACTAAGCAGGGCACGCAAGTACTTCCCCTCTGTTGTACGTAAAATATTATTGTATTAGAAAAAAGAAAAACGCATTCAATAAATTAGTGGGATTTCTTGCATTTAAGCGGAGAATGATGGGAGTTTCAGTCCAACCTCTGTGGCAAATGCCCAAGTTGGCTCAGACCAACTTTCATCTTTAACTGGTATGTCAGAACCTGCACAGGGTTCCAGCTTAATCTAAAATAAGCTACAACAGCACAGCATGATGAATTTGGCACTGCTCTAAATACTGCCCGCATGATGGACAAGCCACCTTCTCAAACTGGCATGCTGCAAACCGGATACCCCTGTAGAGACTTCAAAATAGGCTCATGGAGCTGTGTATTTTATCAAACCACATTCAGATAGCTACAATGTTAGCTGAAGTGGATTTCATGGCAGCACTGCAGAAGTGGTACTGCAGTTTGTAGCACATGAGCTACTTTATCCTACTACTAAGGTTAAGCACATGTGGCACTCTGACTGAAGCCACTGGCTAAGAAGAAATGTAGTATTAAATGTTAGATGCTTTTGTGTGTGTTGTCCCCTGTCATTGGCAGAAAAAAGGCTCTCTCACAAGGCAGACTCAATAGGAAGCAACGAACACAGCAACTCTGATGCTATGTTTCCCTCAAGCAAAAAATCTTAATTTTTAGAACAATAAAACAAAATATTTTCTGGGGATGCCTATGTGATTGTTTCTGATTGAAAAGAACTATATAAGTCAATACTACAACCACTCTGAAGACATGTTTTGACGCTTGCCACTGTTTTTCACCCACTGCTAGTATTTTTAATCTACTTTCTAATATCTATTTTAATGACAATCCTTTATTGCTTTCTGGATTAATAATGTTGTGCATATGAACTGGATTTTTTTTACTAAATTATAACATATGGTACATATAAACTGCAAGCTTTTTATACAGTAACCAGACTTACTTTATTCAATCAGAAATTGGCTGAAAGTCCAATTTCTTTGGTGCTGGATGTAAACAACTTTTCCACTAGGTATGAAGTTCTGAATATTAGTAGTTTTGCACAATAGGTTTGTGCAGCACTGACAAAAGAAACTAGGCATACAGTATTTTAATTTTCAACAGTGTATTTAGTTAATAGAAATGTACAGGCTTCTTAAGATTTCAAACTTTTTTTTAGAAAAATACACTAAGGAAAACCATGGAACAGGCATCCTCATGAAATCTGATTGCTACCGTAAGCTTCTTTCTCTGACTGTATAAAGTAACTGCACCTGCTTTCCTCAGATGGAGGTTAATACATATATACAAGATGATCTGAAGGACTGATGTACAGTAATATATTTGCAGTCTGTGGAAGATGATCCGCATTTTTGTTCTATCTTCTGTCATATTCCCAGCAAGCAAACACAAGGAAAAAAACCCTGTAAACCCATAAGGGGAAACAACATGAATTTTGAGATCTGTGTAATGTATTACAGATTTTAACATTTTAAAAAATCTATGGGAAGACAAATTGCTTTATGCATTTTTGTAATTTTAAGAACTTTGTCACTTGACAGCAGTACACAACAGGCAGTCTTTGCATTCTGAAAACATTTTTTCTAGCATTGTGTATTTCAGGGCCAAATCAGTTCTATGCAATGTAAAAATATTTGCCTTTGGTTACTCTGTTGCATGTAAAATGAAATCTGGACTGCAAACAAGTAATAGTAGTGCAGCACTAGTACCTTCCTCCCAATGCATATTATTTCCAACAGTTTTGTACAGATCTTGTTGCAAAGGATAGCACAGAAACATTTTAATTAAATTAAATTAAATCTTGAATAGCAAGAAGGATTACTGCAGGACAGCACAGGTTGATTCTCACTGTGATAAGTAGTAGCCTCCCATTCACATTTTCTGGAAAAGGGCCCAGAGGGAAGAATGAGACCACTGTAATACGGTGCTCTCCATCCCTTCCCACAGAGCTGGTCCAAGAAATAGTATCAAAAGCCACTGAGAGGTCAAGGGAAATCTGTAGGATTGACTTTGATCATCTTCCCCAAGACAGGTCATTAAAGAACTGTTGGTAGCACACCAAGACTGGACGGTGAATCCAGATGGGTTGTGGGTCCCACCCAAATGGAAGTAGGTCCAGAGCTGATATGGGCAACATGTCGCTTGGTTGGTGTGTGCATACAGCCACTGCTACACCTCCCACTTCTGTGTGAAATGCAGTAACCTATAGAGTGTGCTGCTGTGCTGTGTTTAGCTTAGAAACTGTCCTAACCACATTCATATTTTTTTATAAAAACAGCTGCACACAGCTGTGTGGAGGTAAATGCCTGCTTCTAGAAAATTTGCATCTATTTCCCCTCAGTCTTTCAGCTCTGCCTTGAAAATTGCACAACTTTCCCATTTCTCTATGGCTTTGCAATGAACTTTTGAATCTGTGTTATTTGTCTGTCTTGAAGTTTGTGTCTCTTAACCCATGAGGTCCCTGTTTGGACTTGAAGTCCACATAAGTGCAGTGAGCGTGCTCACTGTTCTCTGACCCTTTTGTGCATCAGACAGACAGCAGTGGGAAAAACGGACCGTGTGGGAGTGGAAGTGATGGGCCACTTCTGGAGAGAAGAAACTAGAGGGTGTTGTTATTTCAGTAGAACACAAAACATATTTTTTTAATTTAAAAAACATTTGCTAGCAATGGAAGCACCAGGCAGTGGAGGAAACTGAGAAGAACATTGACAAGAGAGAAACAGGCAAGTTGGGTTCAATATTTTACAGTCTGGCACATTTATGGGGGGAACCCTTAAAAACATTGTTTGGCATTTGCAGACACATTCCCAGGTTCATAAGGGCTCAGAAACTTAAATCCCATCATGAATGAGCAACCTCAGTGGGACCAACTGCAGGAAGGGTGCCGACACAGGGGACAAGGAGACTTGGTTTGCCACCACAGAGCCATCTCCCATACCTTCCAACAGTGGCCTAGAAGACTGAGGGAGAAAGAAGGCATGGAGAACAACTGAGTGGGTGATCACTTGGTAGGATAATGGACAAGTCACTCACGGCCATGTATTCTTAGGGTGGCTTGTGACTGTTCAGGACACAGAAACCCCACCGAAACGATGTGCTGCTTCTGGAAGAGCACAGTGGCTGCTCCTTTGTCACAAGAGAGTGAAATCATAGCCACACTCCCCTGCTCACAAGCATGATCAGGCTGTACTGTTTGAAAGAGGACAACATTATTCGTGCTGGAGAGTATCTGAAGGAAAACATAAACGGACAGATGCGCCTGTGCTTTTCCTCGCCTGCCTTAGTTACAACATTGCAATATAGTTCAGCACAGAGTTTCCATTACCTTTGATCAGGGTGGACATGGAAAGAAATACAGCACTATAATTTACCTCAAGTACCTTGATTCAGCCTGCAACAAAAGTTACCAATTACTGGATAGATCAGCACTTTGTTATGGGTTAGACTGCAATTTCCCCCCATTGGTATGGAGTTGCAAACATACAGCATTTGAGCTTCTCAGCTTCTCAGCAGCTATCTGGCATTTGAGGAAGACAGATGCAAGGCCTGCAACAGCAGGATGCCTAGGGAAGGTCCAGTTGCTTGGAGTCTAATAGTGCAGACAGACGGCATCAGTATATTCCATTCCATGCAAGACACATTGGACCTCCTGCCTCCCCACCCCACAAAGCAAGTGCCACAATTGCATTAATTATGCGTATGTGAAACAGCACCTGCATCTGCTTTGTGAGTTGGCAGCCAGGAAGTACAATTACCTTTTTTAAAAGGCCAGCTTGTAAATAAACCCCACCAGACAGATTTTACTAGCAGCAGCACAATACAGAAACATTTAGTGGCACATAAATGCCATTTTTGCTTTTGCAAAATTTTCTAGAAATGTTAATTTAAAAACTTAATTTAAAACGGATTAAATGAACCAAAATGAGCCAAATAAACAAAATTTAAAGAAAAATGATAATCAAAATATACCTTTAAGTAGTTTGTTTGATTAAGTTAATTCATCACATAACACCTCTGAGTATACTTTTTGCAACTGTTTTCCCTATTCTATTCATCAAAATGCATGCAAATACAAGCCACGTTTTAGAAAACCTTCATATTATCAATGAAACATGCAAAATTCTTAATGCTTTCCATAAAGGTTTATCTGTTCCTGTATCACCCACATACCCTCAGATACAGAAAGGTAGCACACAGTTCGAAATATACTGGCCTACATTATACATGTCAAGAATATTGCTCCTAGATTTATGGTGACATTTTAAACTGACACAGTTTTCATTTGGCATCTCTAAGGGAGAAATGCACTCAGGAACAACATATACTCAGAACACCATCTCAAAGCTGCATTGATATTTCTGTGATGTACAACATTCAGGCATGAAATGACTATGGGTCTTTTTCCATATCAACATTTTCTTTTAAACAAGCAGTCCTATTAGTACTAATTCTTTAACTTGGAATTGTTACTCATGGGTACAGTACTGGTACAAACTCATCCTGCAAAATGTTTAATTAAATTACTGTTTCTCTACATTTTATAACTTTGATTATCCATGTGTTAAATTTCCCATCTGACTTTTTTCTTATCTGCAATCTCTAAAGCCTGACCATACATTTTAAATCTCTCCCCAACCATTTTTGAAAACAAATGTTACCTCCTTCCCCATGCTAAATTTAAATCCCTTTCCACTACTTGCTGCAAAGCTCAAGGTGGCCCAGTAATGGCTTTTCTCAACATAAATATGTCATTGCTTTAGAAACTGTCATTTGCCAGACATGCAGAAACAGGAAGAATGAATTTTATGGCTTCTCGGTAAGAGTCAGCACATGTTTTTGATCCTGGAAGCTTTCAAAACCACTGGCTACAAAACAGTCAGGTTCTGCTCCTTCTCATATATAGAATGAAAATATACTTTAGATCATTCTTAGGGAATTTGATTTTTTTCCTTCCCCATATTATGACGTTGGATCAGTGGGCTGATGGCGGCAGTAATAAGGTCATTATATTTCAATAATGAAGATATAAAACCTTTGTGAAAATGAGTTGTCACATGCTTCAGCTCCGAGAGATGAGCAACAGGCATCCTTGACTGGAGCAACAAACCAGGGGGGATAGAGGGGTATGGTGAATTTCTCAGGAAGTTATAGGGCAAAGGTGGCATCAGGTACGAGCATGGGTCAGATACCAACAAGGCCTGGCAGGGCATAGGTAAGGGCAGATTGAGTAACAGGCTTCAAGACACAAGCAAAAGCAATGTACAGAAGTCGAGTCAGGAGTATCAAAGTAACCACCATAAAGGAGTGGTGCTCCTGTAACAAAACTGGGCAGCACTGGGAAGCCTTTTATACAGCAGCCTGCAGCTCCTGGCTGCTCTGCATGATTGCACTGGTCCTAATCTTGCATGTACGTATGCATGTATTTATTTGTTTGTTTGTTTATCTGGGGTATTTCTAACCCGTCCAATCACTACATGTCTCTGGAAGGCTTACAACAATGATATAATAAATACAGCAGTACAAATATCAAATAACCCAAACAATAATTATATTAATAACACTAATAACCCATGACTGGAATAAAAATGTATTTAAAAAAAACTTTAAATACTGGGTAAATAAAAAGGTCTTGACCTGGCACCAGAAAGCATATAATGTTGGCGCCAGGCAGACCTCTCTGGGGAGCACATTCCATAACCAGGCGCCACCGCAAAGAAAGCCCTCTTCCGGGTATTCTGTCTCCTAATCTCCTTCAAGAAGGGTTCCTGAAGCAGGGCCTCTGCTGCAGATCTTAAGGGGTGAGAGGGCATATAGGGAAAAGGACGTTCAGATGTACACATCTGATGACAGTCCTGCAAGAATATGCAAGTTGGAACAGGGTGTTTTCTCTATTGCGCCAGCAGGGGGAGCTGCATCATTCTAAAGACCCTGACCTGTGGTCACAAATCAGAGACATAGGCAGTATGAATATTTCCTTCTTAGCAGCTGACCTTGCATAAAACCATATATAAAAATTTCTGAAATGTAAATATCAACCTGAAACACTTAACAGTAAGAATACAATCAGAAAAAGTATGATCCAGAACACAGATACATACATAGAGTCTACACATATAGCTACCATTACTGCTAGAGAAGTATAAAAATGTAACACTTTTACATCTAATAGGAAAATATGGAACACAGAAACCACTTTTATATCACAGAATAAGCTAAGAATCTTACAAGCATCACGCCTGCCAGAGATACAAAGCAGGATTGGATATAGGGAGGGGAGCAACTTTCAGAAGTACATGTTTACAATGGCAGAGTGCAAGCTTCATTTACTTGTGTGCACATACCCATAATCTGCTGCCTAAACATGAGAATTCACTCATTTTGTATGTGTACATCCAAGAAGAACTGCATGAATATAAATGTTGTGTATACAAAGAACGAGCACTGTACCAAACGCATTGCTTGCTTGAAGCAGATCCATGTCCCCATTTTCATTCCCAACCTTTTGGCTCTAGGATGCACTAAGCAAGTGTCCAAAGCAGTGCTGGTCCCTAATGGTAGCTTTTGACACAGCAGTCAGAAGACTGCTGACAGCCAATTGACTTGTGTCTCAGGTTTTCACATTTTTTAGTCTAATACACTAGAAGGAAGTTGCACATGGCCCTGACAGTATGAAGCATTTCACCAGTTGTGAAGAGAACTCACATTTTGCACTACAGGGCAGGCACACAAACGTGCTCTTTGCATGCTACACTGGAAGCACAGCAAGCAGAGGCATGAGTGACCTGTACTGCTGCTGTCACTGCCTGGTCACGATTCCTCAAACAGCACTATGAGAGTTTCTGCAATGGTAAGCATGCACATGTGACGATGCAACTTTTTGGAAAGGAACAGAACAAATTATGGAGTACATCTCTAAACAAATGTAGAATGTCCTCCAGTTAAACTGACTTTCAAGTATAAGAAAGTCCAAAACACGCATCAGTTCCAAGGAAGAACAAAATGCAAATTACAACTCCTTCTAGTTCCGAGGATGGCAGCAGATAGGAACTTCTCAGACACCAGTGGCTAGGGGAGTGAGCAGGCTAAAATGATCTTTCATATCACATATATAGCAATCCACTTGCTATTCCTGCCACAGAAATACTTGACTAGCAAGAAGGCAGGATGGTATGACATAAATTATCTTAATGCTCTCTGAGGGTATGTTTATACTAAATAATTTGCATATAACTTGTCACACTATATATCACTATCATTTTGAAGATACTTTATCCAATGTGTGCTGGTAATTTGCACTCTATTTTCGTATTTGACAACTGTTGTCCTTTGAAAGAAAAAAATACATGAATACTGGTGCTTGCAAAATGCAATATTCAACACTTACCAGCATTTTTAGCAACATATAAAAATGAGTACACATTTAATTGTTTATAAATTGGTTTTAATATTATTTCTGATGTGTAAGGTTGCTCAAATATTCAGTTTTAAGAAGAGAGATACAGCAAACCCCTAACCCTCTTCATTGTTGTTATCTTACCTCTGGTATAAGCCTTTCCAAATGTTCAGCTCGATTCTCATGCGATGGGTGCGTAGAGAGCCATTCTGGCAATTTCGGTTGCTCTGTAATAGTGTCAGCTAGTTCCATTAGCTGCCAGAACACAGAACTTGCTCTTACATCCATACAAGCCTAGAAGTAAAGTGATGTAGAATGCAGAATAATGGTAATGAGAATCTCAAAACATATTGCAGAACAAGCTTAAAATTGTTCTAAGTATCAGTGGCTGCTTTCTCCACAAGAAGTAGAAAATATATTTATATGCTGAACTTCTGTGCTTAAAAATCTACCACTACACCAATGGCTGGTGCCTTGAAAACACCTGCAGCAGGGGAAGAAGAAATAACAAGACAAAGTACTGCTTCAGAGAGAAGGCTACCCAGAACATTTCTAAGAAGATAACATTTATTACAGCCAGAAATTACGCACAGAGAACTTCTAGTTTACCATGGAAAAACTGAGATGGTAGCACAAGTCAGTGGTGTCACTGGAAAAATAAATGTTCAGCGGCAGAGTCAAAGAAGCAGTGTCTGTTTTACATTAAGACAACTGTCTTATCTCGGTCATTCACATTAATACTTTTATTCCTGATCAAATTCATTCACAAGTAATACTGATTTCAATAATTTTTATAAACAGATAATTGTGCTTAAGACTAACGCTTTAATTAAAATTCTAATTTACAACTTTTTGGGGGGCTGGACTCTAGGTATTATTAGAAACAGATTTTTCTCTTTAAAAATATAGATGTATAACAATGGGGACCCTTCTTGAACTGTCTTATATTGGCAGATTTTGTGTAGGTGGAAACATTTGCCTTTAACACCTCTATGACAGCATTTTAAAGGTAACCTTTCCCTGCATGGTGATGACATGATGAAAAGCTTCGCCTATAGACTCCAGCCATCTTGCGCAGCAGTTAAAGATACATGTATCCTGGCAGAAAAAATGCTAGCAAGCAGAGTTACCCATCACATATTTTGTACATATATTGAGATATTGTTCTCTAACTCAGTTCAGAGCAATCACAGAATCCTGGCATAAGATACTAAATACAGAAATAGAAAAAAAATAGGCCAAATTTACATAAAAATGGAAGAAATGCAAGAGAGCGAAGATCAAACATACATTTAAAAGGTGACTGGGGAGAAGCTAACATGCTGAAGGAGTCCCATTTACCTCACAGACTTCCCATGCTCAGACACAGAGACCAGGAGTTGCCCTGGACAGCTTGGGCTTTGGAACAATCCTGCTGCCTAGAAGGCAAGTCTATTCAGGGACTAGATCAAAGTTAAAGGCGGAATCCTAAACTGCAGCTGCAATGTGGTAACTTGGAATATTATTCCAATTCCTGGAATGGCATCTTCAGATATTATTATCTTGGCAGCAGCTCAGACTTTTCTGCCCACTGCCTTCTTTCCTGCTGCCTCAGACTCACCCACATAGGTAGAATATATATTTAGAGGTTTATGAGAATGTTTTGGCCCAGTGGTGATGCATCGCTTATTACTTTCCACATGAACCCTGGTAGGGTCTGGAGGGGGCCACCTCAGCTAGTCAGAACTGAAGCAGAATATGCTCATGCAGTTCATCAGCCCAGGGGTACCCCATTGGCTTATACAGCACTTAGTACAGTCTACCTGAATACCGAGTTCAGAAAAAATAAGCAGCAACTTTCATTTTGCCATGCATTTTTGCTCAGGGAGGGCAGGGGAAGCATGAAAAAGGCATTGCTTAGGAGTACAGTCTCAACATAAAGTATGCTTGCATCAGCTCTGTTTGCACTACAAAATGCAATCTGTTGTCCTTCAGAGTAACAGCCATTTGAGCTTTGTGTTTTTTGCCCTTTTTTGTCCAAGAAACTTCAGAATTTGAAAAAAAAATCCAACATGAAGCTGCTTCACTTGCATGGTTAAAGGTAAAAATAATTAAAATTGTCAATTTTTATGTATTTATTTTAAATTAAAAGAAGGGCTGAAACTTGCTAAAGTTAATTACTGGGCCTCAACATATTAAAATTGTAGAACAACTACTGGGTCATAATTTAGCATACGCTAGAATGAAGAATAAAGGGAAGAACAGTTTACATTTACCAAATTAACAATGGGAAATGAATTACTTTTAACCCACACTGATACTTTTTAATGAAGCTGCATGAGACAGTAGCAAGTCATAACCAAACTACAGTCTCTACAAATGCAAACAGTTCTTGCAGTAGAACAGGTGGCATTTGTGCACATATGTGAATGAAAGAGGAAGAGATACCAATTATGCTAATAGAAGCAAAACCATCTGGGTTAAGATCTTGACCTTTATGGGCATAGAAGGAACTGCTGTAGCAATGTAGAAAAAATGAAAACAAACATACAAAATGCCCTAGACAAATAAACAAGGCACTGAATGCAAGAAAGAAGGGTCTTAAATGAGTAAGAATAACATCTTTATTTGGCTTAAACTGCACAATACTTTTCTGAATTGATGCATATGCTGAAATGTCAATTAATGTATTTTTGCAAGCAGATAAGTCTCATTCAAAAAGTCAAAGTATTCATAATGAGATCTGGGTCCAATTCATATATGTGATCTATGGAAAAAAGTGGCTTGATACAAATGTATGAAGGACACTGTGCACTTGATTTCAGCAATGGAATTTTTATCATGCCGTTGCAAAGCTCCGGGGAAAAAGGCAGCTTATGCGATAGTAGTGAAACTGCAGCCACATGCAGGTTGGGTGGAACTGCTGCTTCACGCACATTCTCCTTCACATGCAGAATGGCCATTCCTGGCTTGACATAGCTACCATCTCACACGTATGAGGAGTGAGGAAATGCACATGATGCGTTGTAGAGAGGTACTCACAAAAGCTTGCACTGATTACTGTTTAGCAGTGTCCCCCTTTGCAGTACAAACAGAGTGACTTTTCATCAAATTAATTTTATGGCACATTTCTTCTTTTGCCCAGTAGCACTTCTTCTCCAATAAATAATGAAAACCCTAGGAAATAATCTGAGCAATTCTGAAATATAAGCCATTGCATGAGAAATACATTGTCTAGAAATTTCTGGGGGGAAAACCTATGAAAGGTGATGGCCCATTAAGCTAATCAGTCTCCAATTAGTCAAATCAGATTGTGTGTTCTAAACTGTAACAATAAAAATACAAATTATCCTTAACAACACTAGGTGGCAGTGGTGATACAGTCTCTCTCTCTCTCTCTCTCTCTCTCTCTCTCTCTCTCTCACACACACACACACACACACGCGCGCGCGCGCGCGCGCATGCGAGGACGACCTGGAAGATAGTGAGAACTTCATTTGATTTTGTTTTTGGTAAGAATTTACCAAAATTTACAAATTTGTTTGTATTTAAACAGAAAGAACATGAGATTTAATCAATCTGAAGATTGGATTAAAAGAACACCTTGCAGATTCAACACACCTTAGCTGTAAAATGAAGTCCAACTTTGTCAGCTTCAGCTTCTAAAGTCCTGCTGTATGGCCTATGAAACAGCAACTAGTAAGAAAGAGAAAAATGAATCCCAAAATTTGGTTCTTGCCAAAATCAGAGTCATCTTTTGCATTTATCCAGCTTTCACGCAAAAAAGCTATACAACAGATTCCCCCCTCCTTCAGAGTTTAGGGAAGGCACCACAAATGTGCATTTTCCTGCAATAGCTAATTAGGTAAGCTTTTGATTGACTGTGTTATACATCTTGTTCACATCACATTTTCTTGACAGTGACCCTTAATACTGATGAAGTGCTAGTAGTGGGTTTTTGGGTTTTTTTGTATGGTTTAATACTTGTTCAGCATATATTAGTTTTGTTTCACCATAACTTAAAAGATACCTAAAATAAGACTATCTGGAGCATATGGACAGTTGGAGGTCTACAATCTGATTTTAGGGTGCATTCCTATGCACATTCATTCTCAATGTTATTTTTGTCCCTTTTGCAGATAATTTTGCCAGTTTCAGAATATTCTTTGATTTGATTGAAGTACTGGTATATTCCCATTCAATCTTAACCAATTTAGCTTGGTTAAGTCATCTTACATTTAATTAGTTCTATGCTTTATTTCCAATCAAAACTTTTAATATTCTATTTATAACATTATAAAATTACATACAAAATAGAAATGGGATACTGTTTCATATCATTAGCTTATTTAGCTTCCCCCAACCCCCCAAATTCACATCAATTCTTACAGTGAAGTTTTCTAGTAATACATTTATCACAAATTTTTATTATATCCTCAGTTTTTATTTTTGTAAAGTAACTTTCTAAAAGTGTAATTGTATACAAATTTTCTTGAGAACAGTTCCATTAAAAACTGGGTCACGCTTCTAACTATGGTAAGCTTCAGGGTTGTAGAGGACATGTAAAGGACACAGAATAGGAAGGATGAGCTTGATTAAGTCATTTGTGATAGATCCTGATGCACACAAGAGAAGATTTCTATACCTGATCCAGTTTAGGTTGAACTTCCAATTGGCAATTCTAGTAAATCACCCATATAGACATTCTGTCCTTTCATCAGTCTTGGAAGAGAAGTCTAAAAAGCAATGTATTTCTTCTTTTCCCTGGCAATCTTTTCCACATTTAAAATTTAATTAATGAAACACATTAGAATCCTAACCAATGGTTCACTTAATTCATGGTTGATGGTTGGTTGACTTAGCTAGGGTATGACTGGCAGACGGCAAGCAAGCTTTGTTTTCTCAGTCTCTGGATTGTTTTTCCCTCTTCCCTGCCCATCCCCTCCTTTGTAGCACTGTGACGCTGGCAACAGTAATGGCTATATTTGTTTCTTTGCTACTCATACCTACCATCTTTGTAGCCTGGCAAAGCAATTCATGAGCCACACACAGTGCCAGATTCAAATCTGACAACCTTTCCTTTGAACAACACAGAATTCATAATCCAACAATGCTGTTAGTCTGTATTTGCTCATGGCATGGTTTGCTGTTTCACATATCATGAGAACCAATACTTCAACATTCCAGGGGTTGAATAAATCATGTTATATTTGAACTGAATGGACATTCTTTTCACAGAAAGGTATTTGCAAGAACACTGAACTTTCTTTCCTGCGTGGAACAGCGAATGCTGTCTTGCTCAAGTGACTATTTCCATAACAAAGTGGTTGTGCCCATGTACTAGTGTACCCAATCACTATAGGTCACCACCAGAGTTCACAGGCACGCTTTCGAAGTGGCCTCTTCTGTTCAGTAAACATTAGTCTTTATTGCTGATGCAAAGTCAACACTGCATCACCAAAAATGGAATGGGGTCAGACAGTTAAAATACATTTGGAACTACTAGATCATAATAAAAGATTACAAATGTTAATAGAGAGGTTGATAAGGAGTATTGGTTAGTACAAATGACACTAGATTCTGGGAGTGGCCATCATACTAAGTCCAGGCAGCTGTGGAGGCTAAGGAATAGCAAGATCACTAGATTTTTGCAACCCAGACATTTTTCTGGCACTTCCCCATTGAAAAGTGCTGTCACAGATATTCTCCATTTCTGAAACTTGAAGGGAATGAAACTGCCAAATGTGACAAGGAGCAAAGAACTGGGTTTGGCAACTTGTGCACCATAAAGCATGCATGGTACCCTCGAATCATTGATCATCCTGACAGTTCACTCAGCCATTTTAGGTTAGGTTACTGAACTGCCTTTTCCTACTTCTTTGATTTTATTCCTGACTGGCAGGAAGTTCAAGTATAATAAGGAACTTTGCAGAGAAAACGGGACATTTATTCTCCACTCCGTTCTGGTTAATGAGCCTTGTAGCACTGAACCAGAAAAAGCCAAGTGGAAGAATCTGAAGGCATCCAAGATTCTGGATTGTCTGGGAGATCGGTGGGTTTCGCCCAGGAATGTTAAAAAAAAACCAAACAAAACACAATATCGCCTCAATAAAAGTACAAAAAACCCCCACCCCTATTGTATTTTAAATTGTTTTCCAGGTGATCAAGTTAACCTTTAACACACAAAGGAACAGAAGGAGAAGTTCAACCGCAAAATGCACACCATACTTCAGAGAGCAAACATTACAGGTGATGAATGATATAGCAGAATTTAAATTATTGATTCAAGGTAACTATGCTCAATCAGTATTATGCCTAGGGCCAGGAGAAGAAGTTTATAATAAAAATGCTTACTGGCTTATAATGGTGATCAGGGAAATAAGAGAATATTCCATTTCCTACTTTTGCTCCCAGCTCACAATGGTCTGAAGCTTAGAAGCCAGCAGGCAGCATTTATATCTCTATGAATTGAGCCATTATTTTTTTTCAGCTAATGGTCAACAACAGTGTGGTATTCATAATACAGCCACTCATTGATCTTCCTCTATTGTAGCTGCTCTATATGGTCTTATTTTTCAGCAAAGAGATCAAGATCTTCTTAAATGTATGGAATGCGTTACCATCAGAGATTTGTCAGGTGCCTACTCTGCTGAGTTTTAGGTGCCTGATTAAAATGTTTCTTTTCCAGCAAACCTCTGGCACCACTTAGAATATTTCTGCAGCAATTTGTACCAGTTTTAATTTACTAACTTAAGTTTTATTCTTGTTGATTATTTATAAGTTATTTTATCTTATGTATTTTAATTTTATTATTTTATTTATATTATCTATTGGTAATTTTATTGTAGTGGCTGCCCAGAGAGCATGCTAATAATGGGTGGCCTTTAAACAATTTAAATAAATAAATCTCTTCCCTTGAAGGAAGTGCATGCCAAGGCTTGCAACTGGCTACTTGTCTTGGCTGAGCGATGGTTTCTACCAGTGCTCAGGCTGACCTAAGAAAGTAAAAACTCTGCTGGATCAGGGCCAAGGTCTGTTACGTGCAACAACCCATTTCTAACAGCAACAAGCATGCTTTGTTACACAAAAGTAATCGTAGGCAAAATTGAAGGGCATAGCATTATCTAGAATCATATTCTCTTACCTCCCGAAACCTGCCATGGATCCACTGGCCAATCACTGCTAAACTGTCTTGTGGACAGACAGCCCAGATCACTGTGAGAAGAATGAGTGACAGAAGATCCAAGAAATGCTCCAAGCTTGCCTTCTCTGCCTTGAAACAAAGGAAATATATTTTTAAATTAATTTATAGCCTTATCTCAGATATAAGTATTTACAATTTTCTATTTTCAATGATCAATTAAAAAACCGTAAGTGTTAAAAGCATTTTCCCCCACTAACATGCAAGTCACTTTAAATAGCAGTCCGTATGGAAATTGTCACATTAATCTAATCATAAGATGCTGCAATATATTAAAATTAGGGGCAATTAGCCTTACACAAATAGTGGAGAAACGTGGAATGCACAAGCCACCTTGTAGCTGATAGATAAGCCCTACTTTTAGGCCTCTGTGACTGAGCTATCAAGACTAGTACAGATATGCTAGACACAGGCCTATTTTATTCAGGAAAAGAACAGGAATGGCCACAAACGTTGCCCACCTGGTGATCTCAAAGGATAGCTACAGAAATCATAGCAGAGATCATTGGGTCCCTTGGTCAGCCAACCCACAGATCTATTTAGAAGGATTTGCTTCACTGTCTCTACTAAAATAATCTAAGAAACAAGAAAGCAGAAGGAGCATGGTGCATTGAAGCTGGAGTGCTTGGGGTGCGGCTGGGGGGTGGGGGGCAGCTGGGGCAATCTTGTTCACTGGGATTCCCTGGTGGTCCCCTCCTCTTCCTTTGGCTCCATTCCCTTTCTGCTGACCACTGGTCATTTGATTACTTCATAGCTTTTCTGAAGTCTACCTGCCATTCTACAAGCTTGAAATTGTAGAAGTTTACAAGCTTAAGTTAAAACATACTGATATGTTTGACCTCATCTCTTTTGTCCTTGGTCCCATCCCATTTGCTTCTGGTCCTGCACACCCCAAGAGCTTCTCTGAACTGGAACTTGGCATTCAGGCTGAAAGACAGTCGCTGCACCAGTTGTAAAACAATTCTGAGCAACACCCACTTTGGGATTAACTACTGATTCTGATCTGTAAGAAAAACTACAGATACAGCATTAATTATAGAACTTTTTGGCCCAAAAAGGTAAGCCATGTTACATGATTAAAGCCAAATAAAATGTTCTCTTACTCTCTGCACCCATCAACATGCATTAGCTCAATAAGAATATATTTAAACAGAAAATACTTACAGCATGTTCAAGAACAGCATGAGCAATTTCATGCCCCAAAATGAAAGACAGTTGATTGATATCTAACACAGCGGCTAGCATGCCAGTGAAAACAAACATGTGTCCAGTCTGTGAGGCAGAAGGCAGTGGGGTGGGGGGGAGAATATTGCAAATAGGTTATTACAAAAGATCCTTTTCCCAGTTATATCTCCTCCTTTGTTTTCCATTTTTACTTACTGGAAGCATAAAAGCATTGATGCCTGGGTCTTCCACTACATGGAGAGTCCATCTGCACTCAGAAACCTGTGGAATATCCTTGTTGCTTTCAACTAGGTGAACAAAAACTTTTTTAACCACCTGATAGCGAGGGTCTGTTTCTGGCAGCATTTTATTTTTAAATTCTTCTACCCACTGGAATAAAACATAAGAGGAAAAATTACAGAATACTGAGTGACTCAAGAAAATTAAGATATACAATATACATGAATATAATCTAGTATGACAAACATACAGGACAATCTAATTCATGAGGGGTGGAAATGTCACACATGCTGTATCTCGCTTGAGACAAATAATGTGCTGTGGAATACAAATGTAAGAATCTGCTTCAGCAAAATGTGTAACTCAAGAAAGATGAACTAATTAAAAGAATGCATCCGTATAAAGAAAATGCAAACAAGCAGCATATGCCTTTATCCAACAGACAATGTCAAACCCTTCACTTATGACACCCCTTTAAATAAAGATGAGAATCTTGAACCCCAGCTGTGTGTAAAGGCCAGCAAAGTGGTACTTATGCCTACCATCTTCTGCTAATGAGGGTCACAGGTAGATCTAGAAAAGTAATCTTACTGAGACTTTTCTGAACTGCATCTGCAAGTCAGCTCATAGACAGACCATAGATCTGACTCAGTAATGTCAGAACAATGTTCACCATCCTGAAATAGTAACCATTCTGAAATCTGTCATTCAAAGTCAAAACTGTTGTGCACTTGCCAGTAAGGCCTAGTTTGGGATTTCTTTCTTCTTAAGGAGGGAGATGGTTGCTTTTTGGACAGGAATCATGAATACTGTAGAGACTGAAGGA